AAGAGGAAACCTTAGGTGAAGTCATTAATACAGGAAAGACAAGGAAAACCTCTGCACTTCTGGAGAACATTCTCAGCAGTGAGGTCCTCTGCCTCCAAAGGGTGGCTGAGGGAAGTCTAAATGATGGTAGGCGTGATCTATTTGTGTGTCCTGTTTTAGGCAGCAGGACAAGACCTGCAAGTACCCCTTCTGTGGATATTGTACTGGAAAATTTCCCCATCTCTAGTCATAGATTGGGAGGTCACACACAGTTAGAGCGTACCATGGACTCACTCAGAAAGGAGTACATGTATTCCCGTGATTTCACCAGTATTACCAACCTGCCATATTCCATTACTCTGTTAAATATCACATTTCTTTTCTTCCCTTTTTACTCCACTGGATATTTTCCAGTTCTGTCGAGCTTACTTCTTCCACTGTTTTTTCCTTTGTTGACTTTTTTTTCCTCCTACTCATGTCTCTTCCACACCTTCTTCCTTCTGCTACTACAATGTGGCTTTCCTTCACCATTAAGTATTCATTTGATCTCCCACACATCTCCTGTATTAGGGCCAGAATCACTCCATCTCTTTTCTACCACTTATCGCCTGTTACAGTCTACAGGAACTCAAGAAATCATTTTTCCTCCTTCATGCTACCACACAGTCCTAAAAATATCGTTACGGAAAACAAGAGAAACTCTAATAATACCATTTCTCACATACAGGACTCATTTCAAAGCCTTCCCTTCTGAGCCTCTTCCTCCAGACTCTTTTGCTCAACTCTAAATCACATCCTGTAGAAATACTGATGTATGGAATGCAATATTCAGGAAGCAAACGGGGAAGATAACAAACTTAATTTTCCCCCCTTTTTTTTTTTCTTTCCTCTGATAGTTTGGATAGAAGCTCCATAAAACCAAACAGGCTTCTATAAAATCGGTAATTACCATGTGAAGGCACACAGTCAAAGAGTTCGAGGGAGAACTGAGCTTACTGAAATACTATGCTTTCTGATGCCTGGAAGTCATATGTTGGATAGGTAAAAGGAACACAACATCCAGACATCTAACGCTATGTTTGCCACCTCTAACTCACAGGCTGATCATTTCCAACATTTGTAGCATGCAGTACAAAGGTACCAAAAACCTTGAAAATTACTGCCATGGGGAAAACATCCAACTGAATGAAAGAAGTTGGCTTAAAAGACACAAGGCGTTATTAGCAGCTGCTTCCTATAGACTTTAGTGGTTTCTGCACACAAATTTGCACAAGTGGATTCAAATTAGTTGTCTACAGACTTCAGTAAAGAGTTGATCCATAGCCACTAAAACAGAAGATGTTTTAATTAGGTGACCTCCTGAGGCACTGACCTTTGAATTATGCAAAGCTGGAATACGCTGGAAGATCGAAGCCTGCAGCACCTCCTCCACCTCTTCAGCGTTTTCACTTTGCCCTCCCACCCTGTGAACCAACGTGCCCAGCCACGTGCCGCAGCTCCTGGCACAGCTCCAGCCACCCTCCTGGCCCACTAGCCCAGGCTGACACAAAGCAGGGCTCTGTAGTCCACGAGAAGAGATGCAAATCAACCAAGCCCCACGGAGACAAGTTTTCTGAGTGTATCTCCTGTCTCCCATGAAGTATGTCTCCTCCTGTCTCTAAGGAGCATGGGTTTCCTTGGAAAGTTTCCGACAAATCTTGGGAAAAGTCTCTGCAAGGCCGCTTGCCCCATCCCCGGCCAAGATGGACTTCCACCTAACGCTACAAAGGTGTGAGTGGGAACGAGCGCTGCCGCATAAGGACGTCATTACCAGCACCCTCCCACCCAGGTGACCGTGCCACCATTCTCTCCCTAATGATTTCAAGGGACCCTCGACGACCCAAGCCCTGCCCTCTCACCTCACCAGGCCAAAACCAAGAGGCCTTCCAACACGCCGAAACCCTCGCAAGCCACCAGGGCTTCTGTGCCATCAAAAATCCCACTTTTACCTCCTCTCTGCCGTATCAGGAGCTTTTGAGAAAAATTAAGACTCCAAAAAAAACATTGCTGCTGTAATGGCACAGGTCTAATGTAGCAGGGTGGGACTTTCAGACTGCTGCTGAAGTATAAAGGGAGAAGGACAGCCATGGTTATCAGTGGAAAAAAACTATGTAGGTATTTTCTGTGCTTTGAAGAGGATGGATATAGCCTTTTTTTTTCTGGGTAACTAAACTACTTTGAAATCACACGTAGCCCTTACATCTGTGCTTTAGCAGATCTCGAAGGATTACAAAATTGACAAATTCCTACAGATTTTCCCAAAATAAATCTAATCTCACTTACAACTAGAGGTCATAACAGCAATAAGGTGGAAGAGAGGTGGAGTGCACTTTTAAAGATATCAAAGTAAGATTTGGGAAGCTCTCTCTTAAGAGGAGATACAATTCTATCCAGCTGTAAATCAGGGAGTTTTTGTTTTTACATTTATGATGGTTGACCTAATTCTCTATATTCATACAGAGCACTATAAATAGACTTAAAAACAAAACAAGAAAAAAAGTCCTATGACCCCAGTAAGGGCCTACCAAGCCAGTTTTATTCAGTAAACACAGATTTATCTTTCTCTTGCACAATTACATAAGTTTAAGCTACTTGTTTGCATCATCTCTGTAAGAGCTAATTGAGAGTTCTCTTCTACTACCTTATTAGTACTAATGAGCTAGGTTACTATACTACTAAGATCTGCAACAGCAAGAACGTCCTCTAGCTTAGCTTTCCACTCTGCCCAGACTTAGCGGCATAATGCACAGCATGACATACGACTGTATTGGAAAATGCATCTTGAATCAAAGTCCTCTATGTTATGAAATAAATAGAAATGACACAGGAGTTCCCAAAGCTTTCTTGCACTTTGAAACATGAGCGTGCAAACACTAGTCCTCCATTATTAAAACAGTATAGATTTTGTAATTCAATAAGGGTAACTCCTGGAACTTGTAGGCAAATTACAAATCCCATTTGAAAACTATTTCTTAAACATCAAGCGCAAAATGTGGAGACTAACAAGGAGGTTTGCTGATAACAGAATTACAGTGGGTGATTTTTAATTGGCTTCATATTAATAGCTACAATATAGACAAGAAGCAACGTTAAGTATGAGGTTAGAGGAATTCAGATTGCCAATTTTTTGCTTTGGAATTAAAACAGAACATGAACCTTGGTTCATGCATTTTTTGAGATGAAAGTTTTAAAGAGTACACTCAGAAACAAGATGAACTATACCCCTAATATAATAAAGAGGTGCACACTTCTTCAGCTGCTCTGTTATTTGCTTAACACGCATTTTTAAGTTTTGGGAAGAATCCAAACCCACTGTTGATGTTTCAGTATGTTTTATTTTTCTTGCCAAGCTGTCAATCAGAAATAATAAGCACATCCTAACTTGCGACTTTTAGCTGCCTCCAACACTGCATTAAAAAAAATTGTAACGATTATGTGCTTTTTGTCATATGTTTACTACTGTTCAGCCTCTGAATGTTTTTGCCTTGCCTTGAACAAGCCATTTGGATTTGATCTTCAGTCTCATACATGACTTCAAGGGCTTTCTCATCACAAAACCCCTCATTTTCTTATTATATATCCTTCACTGAAAAAGATGAAAGTTTAATTCCAAAAGCTAGTACCAAAATTACCATATGGAAACATGTTTGACTGAACAAAGCTTATTGTGGTTGACCCTGACAGTTTTTCCAAAAAATTAATAATCTAAGTGTTTTACAAACTTTCCACAGATTTTCCAAATCACAATCAGCTGTCAAGGGTCAGGTGAAATATTTCACAACTCCAAGTTTTGGGTCTGCAGTAGAAACCTGCTTATTCCAGTGATGACTACATAAAATAAAGAATACGCACGTTATGTTCAGAGGAGCTATAAGAGACATCTACAAGCTGCGTTCAGTAGCTCTGTCACCCTCGAAGTTAATTACTACATTTCTACAGATTATTTAAAAAATTTTATCAGACATTTGAGGTTTTAAAAGACAGCCTTCCAACATACAAGAGCAGGAAGGCACTAATCACAAATCCATGAGATGAGAAGACCGATGAAGCTGCTTGGCCATCAGTGGAACGGCAAGCTCCCCAGGGCCCGTCCTAGGGCTTAGACCGCTCAGTTTTTCTGGAGAGCTTGTCTGTGCCCACTAATCTGAAAAGATGCTGCAGCACCAGTCACCGCCACAGTGCCAGTTAATATCAGCACATATGGTTTATTCAGGAAGATTATTTTTTCTTTATATGTAAGAATATATATATTTTTTGCATTACACATTATATGCGAAGTGTACTGCTAGAAACCCTGATTAAAATCAATGCAACTGCAAGCCTGTCTCAGTGTCCCTCCAGATCTTGTACAGAGCGCTCTCTGCATTTATCTGTAAGACTTACAATTATCCTCACCTGAAGTTTCTCTTTCCTCAGACGCCGTTTCTGTTCCCGTCACAGCTCAACTCGCAGCGCGGACATCCGAGCAGCTCTGTTTCAACATGTTCTTTCTGGACTCCTGGGACAAAATTAATCTCACCTAACTTCAGACTTCTAGAGCAGAGAGATTTAGATCTTTGCTGGTCACTCCCCGCTCCTGTTGCGGCCAGTGAGGAGAACGAGATCGCTCCAGAGACCAACCCCTCTGATTAACCACATCATATCGCCCTCCGTTGCCTAGGCAGGGAGCCCAGGATGAACTAGGTCAGATGCAAGCATGCAAACTGCCGAGATAAATCCCACTGTCTGTGTTACATATTAACACCCTTCTTACACGCTCAAGCTTACAAAAATAATGCACGTTTCTGACAATTTAACAGTTTCAGCTGTAATGCTTTTGCATTGCTGGTCATAGATCATATGCATATGCTGTTGAGGCACAACAGATAACAGGACCCTGCTCTCAGGCATTATAATATTTCCCCATGTGGAAGAGAACCAAACCGAAAGCAAGCAAGTTATTTCATTCAGTGAAAAAAGTTTCTTTTAATAAATAAAATATCTGATATGCGGGTTTTGATGAGATGAAATTATTATATGGATCAAAGCTTTTTAATTAAAAGCTACAAAATTACTGAACAAAACGGAACTCAGAAAAACTTTCAAGAAACCAAACTGTTACAATAGAGAACTCAGCTGTTTTTGCTTATAAATATATATATATATACACACATATCCACAAAAATCAAAGGACTGTAAGGGATAAAATTGCTTTCCTTTATACAAAGGAACAGAACAGTCTCCATGCACTCCACACTTCCCTGTTTAGTTACCACATAGAACTGCTTCGCTCCTGCAGGCCCAGTTCACATTTTTGTTACTGGCTTATATTGTCTCCTACAAGAATTAAAAACAAACCTGCCTGTCCCCATGTTCCTAGGAGTATTTCTATTATTGTTAAGGAAAGGCTTCATTTCTTAATAAAACACCATTTTTTTTCCAATACAACTGTATGCCTATAGGATTGTAAGCCTTTCACAAATAAATATTTTGCAAAACCTGCTCTATCATTTTGATATTCATTCCTGTTAAGGTCCCTCATTTTAGAAATAATCAAAACAGTTCAGTCTTTCAGAAAACAGATCTTGACAAAAATGTTCCACATACTAAAGCAAATTTTAGTTGTCCCAGAAAGACTTCTTCAAACATTGAGGTCTAAACTAAAGATAGCTATCTTATGCAAAGAGATTGATATATACGCAGGATATCATACATGCACACTCTGCTAAATGCACATAACGCACAGAAAATTAATCTTTTGTGAACAGGAAGTGTTGAGAACGTATGCAGCGCACAGCTTTCTCAGACCAATTGCAAAAGAAATCCTCACATCTCTTGGCAGACAATGCTGAAATCAGTCCTTAAAGAAAGATTTACAAGTTGATAAAAACCGAAGCCAGCTACTGGTTCTAACTATATTGCATGTTACTTATTAGTTAATACCGCCTTTTTTAGATTTGGGAAAGCTAATGTGCCTTCTTCTGTTAGAAAGGAGATCTAAAGATCATCTGGCACAGTATTCTTCCTTTTCTGTGCAACACTTCCTTGGCTGCAGATACCAGCATCGAGCGCAGACAGCTTCATTTCAAGTGCCTGAAATAACTCCAGTCTGCAGCTGCTTGCTCTGGGCTTTCTCCGGAGGAGACATTTCAGCGACAGGGTAAGCGGCATGTGATTGGAAGCAGCTCCTCAGCGGCCCCAGTTTACAGCCTCGCACGCCGGGTAGCCCCACATCAACGCCAGTTTAATCTACTGGCATACAAATGTTGGGATGCCCGCCTGGAGTTGCTTCCTGAGCAATTCGTCCGCCCTAGCTAGAGACAGAAAGGGAAAGGCAGTAATTGCTTTAGGAATTTGAATTTAACCCATCCGAGCAGGTCAGGGTAAACCCTTAGCCTAACAATGGAAACCCTGTCATTTCTTTCTCCTTCTTTGTGAGGCAGCTTAATCTTTTTTGTTTGACAGCCCTCAAATATGACATTTTTCCCAGAGAGCATGGTAATATATTTCACACTTTTTATGGCCGACTGCTGGTGAATTGAGCTGTAACAAGAAAGCAAAATGTTTACACAATAAACCCATAAATCATTTTGTAATCATTAATATGCACTTATCAAAATCTTACTGCTGCCAATTAAAAACCTAATTCACTGGAAATGGTCACTCACTATATTATACAATGGAAAAAAAAAATCATTGGTCTCTCATGTTCTGGTAACAGGGATGTGATAGTAGCGGTCGTCCTCAGTCAGAAGAGAGATCTCATGCCATTCTCTTTGATACTCATCTGGATAGTTTACTTGAAATTCTTCGGGATTAAACTTATGCAGTCTGTAAACTCTTATCCTCACTTCCAGTAAGTATCCAAGAAGAAACATTTCAGTCTGGAGAGGAAAGAATTCTGTCAAACATTCATTTCTCGACACAGAAAATTAAAACAAAATCTCTCAAAGATAGTCCAATTTAAGGTGAGTCACCTAGCTTACGTAAAAACAGAAGATAAGGAATTGCAGGGAACTTTTTATAACCAGAAGAAAGAAACTTAATGGTTTGAAGATATCCTCAGTGTTCCAACAATCTTCCATTGCTCTTTTTCATGTGGAGGATATTAACGCTTGCTGCTTTAGAAACATCTCTCACCTGCCTCTCACAAAACATTACCTGCTCCCAATGTCATCTCACATGGGTTAGTGGAGAGCAAGGAGGAACCAACTAAAGAGTGATATGTCTTGGAAAAGGGGGAGTCTGTCACCTTGTAATCACTTGCTGCATGAGGGAAACATAACAGTAAAAGCAAAAATTTTGTTGTAGTTGAACCTTGACAGTTGGCATCCTCATTAACACCTCTTGCAAAGGATTGTGTATTTGGAAAAACGCTTGAGAAGAACTCGTATCCTTAGGCATAGCCAGACAGAGCTAGTCCAAGCAGCTGGGAACAGTAATCAAACTGCTCCTGAAAGTGAATGCAACAGCTAACTCTTGATAACGAAAAACTGATCATGAAAAAATAGTTTCATCCACCGGCAAGTGAAACTACTTGCAGAGCGGCAGCATGAGGCTGATACGTGACTAATTCACTCCTTGTTAAACATAAAATTGAGGGGAAAAAAATCTTAATGTTTAAAGGAGAACAAGGAATACAGCTCATTACCTACTCTTAACAGACATTAGATACGATGGTAACCAAACAGGGGAAAAATACAGTGACGACAGCAGGTCTGGAATGGCAAAACAACAGATAAAGACAAAAACAACAGGTCAAATCTGCACCACCTAAAACTGTTTTACATATCAAAAGGTATCATTGCTCTAAAGTGTGGCTCATTAATAGCTCGTGGCATTAATTTCTGGCCCTGCTAGAAATCTGTCTGCTCTATTTTTTTTTTCCCCTCCCCCCCCCCCCCCCTCCCCAAAGCCTGTCTCTGGTTCTCTCCCCTACACACAAAGGGAAAAAAAAAAAAGGGCCAACTACCACAGATGACGTGTGATATATTCACCTAGTCACATCAGAGATGCAATAACTTTTGTGATTTATTTTTCATTTACATCGTTACCTGTTCTAGGCGACCAGAGTCGCCCACGGCGTTCAGATGATTCATCATGAAACTCAAAGGGTCAGAAGAAGAATCACGAGCAAGTAGGCGGCTAAAAAGGTTGGGTACACGTTCTTCCCTGTTCTTCATCTGCTCATAGGCTTCGACAACTTCGTAGAGCATGATGAATTTTATGGCCTCATATAGTTTGTGCTCCTTGCTCTCATCAGAAAAAAGTGTATTACACATATTTCCTCTTTCTTCGTGATCTTTAACACTGCTTATTTCAGTCCACTAGAAAACACACAGAAGAATAATCCTCAAATTATTAGGAATTCTATTTAATATGAGTGATACCAAAACAGGAATAATCATCAGTCTGTACATTAGCATGATCGTGGCCAAATGACGGTGCAAATAAGCAGGTGGCTCTTTGGGATCTGCAGTGAAATTTGAAGCCTTACCCATTCCAGTTTCTATTTACCCAGCTAAAGTTATTTATTGGAGACAGATCCAAGCATCTGAGTGCTAAACACAGTCTACAAGAAAGCAAACGCAATTCCTCTGCACAAAAACCACCCACCATTGCAGCAGGAAATCCAGCTGTCAGCGTGAGTGAAGAGTCTGAAAGGAGAATAACTAGCAAAAGGGCATCAGAAAGTGGCAGGACATCTGAGCCGGTGCATCAAACATACACACTAAGCCGTAAGCAAAGGTTAAATTAAGTGACACCTCCTGACCTGTTTTTAACTTACAGCTTCCACAATTCTGTACTTTTTCCTCTATAGCACCTTTTAAACTAAAATTACGCTAGCTTAAATCCTTTAGATTCTGTGCCTAATTCAAATGGAGCGGCAATTTAAAGGAACATGTGTGAACTGGAAATGCCAGCATGATCTCACAAACTGTACACACTGGCGTGCCTTTAATCCGTTCTAGTGCGCGAGGTCAAAATACGTTGGCCAGACAAGGAGAAGGGATGAGGCAAAGGCACACAAGGGAGAGGAATGGGGTAGAAACTTCTTGGGCTGCTTACGGTGAGTAACGAGAGGTCCTTCGCTCTCTCCTGTCCTAGAGGGGGGCAAAAGCCAGCGTTCATAGCTAGAAAATGGGCTAGCCAGGAGACAAACAGCGCTGGACAGGACACCAAATCAGAAAGCTTAAAGCACCCAGAACACAGTAGCTAAGAACAGTCACTTGAAACTGAGAGGTTTTTCAGTGCCACCGTAAGAGACAGTGCCTGATGGCTCAGATTCAAATGAATTCCAGTTAACTCCGCGCTTGTAACATTTGTAGGCTGAAGCTGCCGTAAACTGTGAACGCCAACAGAAAAAAAAAAAAATCTAACTTAGCCAAAAGCCACAGCCACAGCAGATGCGTGCATCTATATGTACTTGGTCACAGAGTAACATTTACTAAATCTGGCTATTCAGACTCCATGCAAACACACAACATTTCCCGGGGTGTCTGCTTGAATAAAGAAATAAGTAGACAGTTCAATATAACAGAACCCAAGCTCCCAGTGCTGGCTCTTCAGCACTGCTCACGCTACCAATTATACCATAAAACCTGTTTGTGAAAATGGGCACTACAGAAATCCATCTCACTGGCCAAAAAGCTTCTTTACAAAAAATAAAACTGGAAGCTAAACCTTGTGTCAAGTAACAGCTCAACGCATAATAAAACCGCTCTGCAACAGCTTGTTAATAGAGCGACTCACCAGCCTGACTTGCAACTTTTTCTATACAAACTTCCAGTTTAAGTGCTCCATGCTGCAGGATTGACACTGACCAAGAAAGAACCCTGACAAGACAGGAATAAAAGCCGAACAGCTCAACACTCTTGCAAAGGCACAGGACAATTAGAATAAAATAGCTGCACACGAGAGCCAGCAGGCATATCTCAAGAGGATCGGCCGGCCTCAGGTGTCACCGTGGCACGCCAAAACTGCAGGCAAGACACCAAGACTGGATGCCTATTTTAATTCCCTCTTTTTACCTAAAATTCTTTGTTCCTAGAGCTCAGTTAAGTCTATCTGGTTCTTCAAAAAACAGCTGGTTACTATCACTGGTATCAGCTTTTGAAACGACAGAGCTGTGGTTGGTATAGATAGGGTGGCATAAAAGGAACGTACTAGTATCCTCTTGATGACTGTGAGCCAGGCGAGCGTGCAGAGCAAATGCCAAGAGGTGGGAGGAAGAGGCTGAGGAGAGAACAGGCGAGAGCTCCCACAACTGCAGCCTGGCAAAAGCCCCAGAGGAGCTCAAGAAAACGTGCAAGGTCTAGCCAGGCCAAGCTTTCATCTCTGTTTCAAAAGGCTTTGGGGGCTACTAAAACTCCCAAAGTTTTAAATATATAAATTCGGGTTATACTCCTGTTTGAGAATGCAGGCAGCCTGGCTACGCCAAATAGAGAGGGAGGAAGTGAGGCTGACACGTCTCTGTAACAGAGTGCTTCAGCTTACAGAGAGAAGTTAAGAGTAGAACTGAATAAAAGGTTTTATGGAACAGGGGAAAGATGACAGTTTGAGAAGAAAATCCATTATCTGTTTCCTCCTGTTTTGGGAGGGAACCTAGCAGTGTCTCGTGTGGCACACTGATCTTAAAACAGCGAGGTTCTGCAGGAGCTGCTTGATGACCTCCCTAACTTGCAGCGGGACCCTGAGTACTAACCCTGTAGGGACCCCAAACCGGTTTGCTCTGCAGGAGAGCCAAAGGCCTGCCCAGCACATGGGCTCTCCAAAGCCGGGAGACAGAATGACTGCCCCAGAAATATGCAACAAGGAGGAGTTCCCTAACTCAGACTCAAGCCTATTTTTCAGTGGTTTTCCCCCCACCCCACCATTTCCTAAATACTCACGTTTGTCTTTAATGCTTCCATACATTTGCGTAATTTTCCAAAGGCATTGGGACCCGTGTATCTTTCTGGCCCAAAACTGTATTGCTGAATCCAGTTGCAACCTTGAGAATACAAAAGCTTTTCAGGGAGCTGGGGAGAAAAAAAAAAAAAAGTAACTAAGTACAGATCATTACCATAACAAGAAGTAGATTATAAAGTTATCACGAATTTGTCTAGAGCGACTGCAACACATTTTAATTTGTGAGATGGTTCTATCCTCTGGTTGTACAGCTTAAACAAAAAAATACAAACAGGCTTCAAAACAACTCAGATATTAAGAAAGAGGCTCCATTTGACTGCCAAGTCCTTAAGAAGCTTTTAAAGCAATGCCAGTCAAAAAAAGAAGAAAATATATTCCCAGCAAAATATCCCATGCAAACTCTGGAAAAGCCGGATACACTCAGACTCAGTAAGGTTTTTAAGATTCCAGGTACCTTCCAGCCTACGTGCACACCCACACAGGCAGCAACTACAGCAATGTGAACTACTTCCTCCCCCACCTGCTCCCTGCTTTCTCTCTGCCAGAGCTCATGAAACCCGGGGCAGAATTCGTGCACTTCTCGGCTGCTTCGTCACCACATGGAGCAGCTCAGCTCGAGGCTGTCTTCAGCAGCGCTCCCAAGCGAACTGCCAGGCTCCGCACCAATGTGGAGGAGGAGGATCCAAAGTTCTTTTGGGTTAAGGCAGCGACATCTGGCAGCGGGGCAGGAGATATCCTCAAACGCTGATAATGATTCTCCTCCACCTCCACAGCAGACGTATCAATTTTCACACTGAACAAAGCTTCCTTCTGCAGGACAAGCTCACCTGCCTCATGTTCATTTAAGGAACTGAATTTTACCTTTAATATATCTCTCTCCTTCATCCATGATGGAAAAGGAATGCCTTGGCTGAATATCTGAAAAAGCACTGCTCTTAGTACACAGTAATTGTCTCTCCTGACTTGTCGTAGGTATTTGATATGATATCTCCAAAATAAGTCTTCATAAGCCTAGAAAAAGATCCCAAAAAGACTCAACAATGAACATTTTAAATCTTGTGTGAAACCCATATTAAGTTGAAGTTAAATCTCAAACTACTCATAAAAGGGGGCTAGGGGAAAGAGAGAGTATACTTAAAAGTTTTATATACACAAACTTACAAGTTTTATACACACAAAATGTTCTAACAGCTTTTGTAAACACTGCAAACTGGCACTGCCCCAGAAAAGAGTGATCCTGCACTTTCTTTGAACCTGGCTGCTTGCTCCCATCGTTGCACTGTTGCTAGCATAAACACTGGCGTGGTCAAGCAGATCAGAACAGATCAGCGGGGACTTCTTTGCCACAACAGCTTTAACCTCGATCACTTCACAAGCTGTGCCGACACATGGGATGGAGCAGCGAGAGGGCAGGAATAAGTGCCTGGAGAACGCGTGAAAATTCCTTTGTGCAGAAACATCTCCTTACGCTGACCTGAAGCTATCACGCAACGGTGACCTAAGGCTGAGCAGATCTGACAGCTCTCTGCCGAAGCAGATGGCTCACCTTCCAGCTACACACGCCCTTTGCTGTGTGTTACCTCTGGCTCCCAGTGGAGCCCTTGGCGAGACAAGCCAGACCAGTAAGCCAGTTCAGACCAATAGACCAACAAGCAAAGAATTAACTTGAAAACGGGACTGTACAGTTCCACAGACTGCTGAATCCATCCTATGATCTGCTTCCTAAGGGGGGCAAGAAGATACTCTCACTTCTTCACCCTCTTTCATCTCAGTTGCTTCCCCACCCCACCTAATACCACTTCTTCTTGGCTGCACCCCACTCCTCCTTTGCTTTGGCTGTAACAGTTGTAAACCCTATTGAACTCTTTTCACTGGTTAGCTTCCTGCTGCTTGAGCAAGTTTGGGTAGCTCAGAAAAGGACCTCATGAACACCAGAGCCAGCAGCATAAGATGTGTAGTGGGAGCATGTGGCCAAGCACAGAGGTGGGGGGAGAACAAGAGAGCATGGAGTCAGGTCCCTGCACAGGATGACCTGTTAAATCAGCTAAACACTTCTGAGGGAGACATGTTAAGAGCCAGCCCAAAAAAGAGAGGGGGACTGCCTAGCTGCAATGAGCTGAAGAAAAAGGAAAGGCAACACAAGCAAAGGACTGTTTCACTTTTGGTGATAGGAAACAGGTTAGGCTGGCTCAGTTATCTCATAAGATTTCATCCTAAAATGAGCTCTTACTGTGACAACTCCTCTGAGTCTCCTTTTCAACTCTGATCACCTAATAGGCTCGTGCATCTTCTGAAAGGCTTACTGCCTTGTTCTCGTTGCCTACGTTGTTTGCAAATTTAATAAACGTTGTGATATCTTTTGTTACTTGTTCCTCCATATCACTTTTGGCCTTGCTGTTTGTTGTTCTGCGCACTTTTGGCACGGCTGTGTTCCTGATTTGAGTTTGATCCTTTCTCTGCTCATCATTTGGACGTGACTCCAGCTTTTTGAAGGTGAAAGGTGACTTCTTTCTTCTGACAACTCCCTTACACTGCTGTTTACCTTATCAGCTTCCTTTTGCCCTTTTGTAAGCCCTTTTTGATGGTATTCATTTGCTCTGTGATTCCAGTACCATGACCTAAAGCAATACATACGTAAAATACACTGACTGTAAATAGCGGAGTCTCTTAGCTGTCTTTTAAGCTCTTTTTAATGTGCTTTCTCATTTTTACGTAGTTTCTGAAGGTGCATGCAATTGTAATAATTTTTTCGCTTTGTTGCTCCTGCAAGGATGAGTGCATGCTGCAAGCAACCCTTGAGAGAGCGGTATTTGAGGCGGTTTCTGTGCATTATTCTGGACCAAGACAAGGGTTGCTTCTGTTCCTAAAGGCTCTCTGAAAAGCTGTTGCATGAAACAGTCACTGATAGCATCTGGAAGTTCAGCCCCCTACATCTATCCTGTTTCCAGGGTAGATGGCTCAACGTCTCTCATCACTGCTGCATCTCCTGTCCCTCTGCCTCTTTCTCTCTCAGCTGATCATGGTCAGTGCTCCCAGCATCGTTAGATAAGTCAGAAATACAGACCTGGTGCTATATTTGTCCTGTGCAGGCCTCAAATTCCACATCATGGGTATACCAGGTTACAACATCACCATTAGCTGATTAACTGAACTTTATTCTAAGCTTTCTTTAACAGATACCACTACTCTATCACCAGGATAACTACTTTAGCAAGAAGTTGTCTGGGGACAGTAAAGAACCAGCTCAGGGTCTTTGAGCCTTCCTTTGTGACTAACACCTAACGCAGTTGACAGAGAGAGACATAAAACATAAAATATTTGCTCTTCTTTGCTTCTGGATGCCCATTCCCATCAGAAGTTAAGATAACAGAGTACTGCTTCAGCTTCGAAAATTTGTCAGGGTCCTCTCGAGCTCATCAGTGCTTCCTCCATTAATGGCCACCCAGATACAACTGCCAGCAGCCCATTGCACATGCAATAACGCACGCTCTTTGCCAGAATGGCAGCTGCCCCTTCTCTCTATCAGGGGTGCAAGCATGTCCACAACGAAGAGAACTGATAAACATGCAAATGAGGTGACGGAAAGCAGCATATCTGGCATCTGTGAACCATGAACTAAGCAGGCCTCTGGCTCCGAGGCTCAGCTATCTATGACCCAAAGCCTAGTTTGGTGCAGCCTAGTTTGGCTGGGTGATCTTAGCTCAGGATTATGAGGAAAATGTATTAAGCTGTGAGAAACTATTTCGGCTAAAACTACGCAAGAAAAATAAAAATTCAGAGAGAAGTATAATGCCTCAACGCTGCTGAGAAGGGTGTCAAGCGCTGAATGCTCTCACTTGAACCTTCAGAGTTTGGAAGAAGAATCGGTGCCTTTCATTCCTCCCTCAAATGAAAGAGCTTCTGCCTTACATCAGAGGCTGGCCAAGAGACAGTGCCTAAAACGACGTGATTTTGGCTGTAACACTCTGGGTGATATTCGCCTACCGTCACAATGGAAGCTCCACTCTGCTGCGATCTTGGGACTCGTGCTCATGTTGCCCACTGTCCTTCTCTTTCAAACAGCTGGTGTAACCAGCTCTGATAGCTGTAACAGCTACTTGCAGGAGAACTGCTATCCTTTTCTCAAGTACTTCTCCCCCATCTTCAGACATAGATTAAAATTTAACTCTTACCTCCCGCATGTGTTGGGCCTGCTTTGTGTCTCCTTTCCACTCTCTTGCGCAATAACCAAGGAGATCAACTTCTGGCGACACACTGAGATTCTCTAAACCAAGATCAATGCACAGATTAGTGACCTTCTCCCGTCCTGCCTTTAAAGGGGAGGGGGAATTAATGAATACAGAACGACAACAAAAAGGTTACTTATGAATTTTCTCTGAAGATAGCTGCTCCACCTGAAACCCAAATGACAAAACAGGTGTCAAAGGGGAGTCGTCAAAGGTAAATATTTACTGAAATAAGAAACACCACTGAAAATTAAAGCCTGCATAATAAAAACGTACCATTTCAATAGCTGCGCTAAACAGTTGTATAGCCTTCTGCAGCACCAAAAAACAACGACGAGGAAAGACATGCCTAGCTGTGCTTTTACTTTTTGCCACAAGGATCGCTTGGTAGCTGTCGTCCAGGACTGCACCTCATGCCTTCCTAAAGTAGGGATAAAAAAAAAAGAATGTTTCAGTGTTTTGCAACACTTGCTTATATTTATTACCAAAAATCCATCCAAGTATGATTTCATTTTTGAAACACAAAACACAAAACGTAAAAAGGCATAGTATATTTGGTGACTCGCTTAATTTGTCAAGTTTCTAGGGTTTGAGGGGTACTCGGTTCATATTTTCAAGCTCTCCTCCACAAAATGATGTCCAGAAACAGTCACAATAACAAGAGAGTGGGGGCTTCCCAGAAAGACTGAAGTCAAAGTAACCATCCAATAACCAACACAGACTTGCTTCAGGACGTTTTGACCTGCAGCCATATATCAAGGTTTTTAAGACAAGAGGTTCCTGGGAGTCGTAGTCTACAAGTTGGCCACATAAGGCAATAGATGAGCTGACTAAGCATCCTATGACTGCCCACAGAAATTGAAGGAATGTTCGTGGCCCAATTTGGGCAAGTTTAAGGTCAATTTAAAACTCAGAAGAAAGCTCCTCCTGGAGGATTTGGTGGAAAGCTCAGGAGATGATGATAAAGGGGGTGTGCTCCTGCTGTTCTTCGCAGATAAACCGGGATGCTCTGCTACTCTTTGGCACTACAGTGAGGGTTGGGGAAGGTTTTGGCAGTCTATTTAATAAGAAAACCCTGAACTGAGAGAAGCACAGAGCTTTAAAGGTTGTTACAAATGCAATGTCTACTCCTTAAGTGATAAATTTACCTTTGGTTCACTGTGGTTGAAATTACAGAAAATTCCCAAAGTTTATGACCAGCAGCTATTATTAACTTATTTATTGATTTAATACAAAATTGTAAGAGACCTTAACTTTTTGTATAGGCACCTCCAAGGAAGGCTGAAAAGATCCTTCTCTAGAAGTCCATGAAGGGAAGAATTAATTCAGCATAGCTGAACTTCAGCTGAACTTCTGCTTTGTACATGAAGACAGAGGCATCCCGTTATATCTTCTACTTGTACGCTACACTAAGATGTGCTTAGCGGGCCCGACTTAGGGCTATCCCTGTAAATGTTGAGTAGGAAAGGCAAGAATAAGTTGTACAGCACACCGTATGCATACACAACCAACAGGACCAAGCATCTGAAGCTGCAGCAAACATTTATTACTCATTCCAACTAAGAGAGAAAAACACCAGCGGTAAGTGTCAAAAATGGCATACCTCCTGCAAACTCCAGGGCTCTCCCACTTTTAGCATATATGCTTATTGTTGATGGAAACCAATGGATATATGTTTAAATAGGGAAATTGAAATCACCCAAATTGCTACCAACAGAAAAGAACAAGACTGTCGTCTTACTAAAAGACGACAGTCCTGGCAATCAAGTTAGAGCAATTTATTCACTCTCTGCTTTAGGATAAAAGTCATCAACACTTAAAAACCTCCATACATACCCTGTACGTAATTGAACCTCCTGCTAACTAGGAGGGAACTTCAAAAGCTTACAGATGTTGTTCAGTCCAAAGATCAGTGGGTATTTTGGATTTACATTTTCCTACTGTTGAACAAAAGCCAATAATGGTTCAAATAAAATCCATTAACAGCAATTTAAACATATGGTATCAAAAGGAAGATGCAGCAGACTTTCATTTCATTACTTACAATGACTGTATTTTGAACAAACTGGGACTACAAAAAGTGATAGCTGGTCCATCTGCTCAAATGCCATACCGTGCTTTGCTGCCTATCAGACATATATGTGCACAGCCTTACAATATGTAAAATTTCTTCCTTTAACCCCTTTTACAGACAAAAAGGGGAGAGGTTTGTATTAGCATGCGCTTTTAAGTTAAATTAAACAATCTACTGAAAAAGCTTTTGATAGTATTAATCCTGAAAAAATCCCTCCTTTCAAGGCCCATAGCTAACAGGTACACAAGCAACTACTTTTCAAGGAGTGCTGGGAAGCACACGCTCACTGATTGCAATGCGAAACATGAATCATCATCAGAGAACATACTGTAATTGAATAGTGCTCATCCATTTTTATTTAAGTTTGGAGGATTTATAAACAGAAATTGCCCTAATAAAAAGGCTAAATGGAAGATGGGGAAGAAACTGCAACCAAGTCATTTGGGCTATTTTTGTTACACTTTTATTACTGCATATCATACACCGGACTTCATAACCTTTCCCTCCGCTCGTGGGTTGACACACACTGTTCAAGCAGGACTTTGTGATTCAGTTTGTACTCTCAGTGCTTATGTCAGACTTAAAATGTAATTATAATTTTTTTCCCCAAGTAAATGAAATTTAGAAGTGGCAGCTGAATCACAAAGTTGCTCTTGGTTAGAGTATAATGAAAAAGTCAGGAAAGAACAGGGCTGCTTAAAATAGCTCTTTCCTCCCCCTCCAAAATCCTTCAGAAACGATAGAACAATTTAGCTGGAACAAACGCATGGTGGGGGAGTAAAATAAACCCACGTATTTTTAACACGATCCATGCCCTGGGACACGGCCACAAGCCATCCCCTTCTTCAGCAGACGGCCAGAGTTTGACTGCTTTGCGACCAACCATTGGGCTCAAATCCCTCGGACGACTGACCGTGAGCACCGCCGCAGGGACAGGCCTAAATCTGCGAATTCAGGGACCCGTAACGCCGTCCTAGCATGAGATTTGGATAAACAGAGTTTGAAAGTGCAAAAGCAGGGGCTCATAAATGTCTTTATCTCACCATGCAAGAAGTACACTGTGTTCTCCTTTCATGCCACCTCAGCAACTTCCTGCTAGTGCCAAACTTGAAGCTTTACCCTCCACGAAGGCAGCAGGAGACAGGCACTCCCCCACCCCCCCCACCAAAAAAATTCTGCTAGAAAAGTGACAAGTAGGAGTCATCTCTAACATGTGCTTCTTTCACAACCAGCTCTCCTGGAAAAGCTCTAAAGAATTAGCCCTACGCTTGACTCCCTCACAGCTTTTTTTAAAGGCTGCCACCTTAAAAAGTAACATTCCTAATTTCCCCCTAAAGCACGTGTCCCTCTCCTGCAAAGAGGGCAGCAGAGCGTGGGACCCGTCCTTTCCGGGACCCCTGCTGCTCTCCTGGGTTGGCCCAGCACCGAGAGACCAGGACCCTGCATGCTGCACCACAGACCTGCTGGATGCGGGCCAGCACCGCCCCACCCTTTCTTCAGTCTCTAGGTGAGGAACCTCTCCATAACGCCTCAATTAACAGACAGATGCCTTATTAAGCAGCACCAAGTGGTTACAAGCATTCCTCGGTTTCCCAGAGGTCACCATCAGCACCCTACCCCCAAAAGTGAGAAACTCCTGCAATAGAACAGACCAAGCACAGACCAAGACGTGGGGGAAGCACCGCTCAACTTGGTGACAATCTCCTTTACGGAGCAGAGCAACGTCAACTTGTCCCCCTGAAGCTGAGCACGCCTTCTTCCCCTTTTTTTAGCAGGGCAACTCGAGATGACAATCGCTGCTTGGTATAACTAGAGGAAGAGAATTAACTATAGGCAAAGATGGTAACTGCCTGGGACATGACTTGACTTACCAAAAGTTCAACCACATAACTGATCAGATCTTGACTTCTGCACAAAACCAAACTGGCAAAAAAAACCCACAGTCCAACTGCAGACTTGTGCAATCACCTAGAAAACTGGATAGTTTCTGTCGCGTCCAGGCCCATTACTTTCAAGAAAACCATTATTTACACAGAGCTGATGTGAGTAGGAGTTCCCCCCAGTGCTCCCGCAACCCTTTGTCCCCCCCTTTCTGCAAGAATAGTTCAGAAAAAAAATAGAGTAGAAAGACAACCTCAAATTGTCTCCCTGATCTTCAGTGGGACCCAAACGGTTGCTGCTAACACCTCTATCCAGCTGTGACATTGACTTACATCTACTCTGTGGCAACACACGTGAACAGTTCTTACCAGCTCAGAGATTAACAAAAACATACCCTGTTGCAGTTACCTTCAAAAAGCAACTCCATCTGTATAATCAAGATACTAATGCACGCCCAGGCCTGCAGGTACCATTTGTTCTCTACCAGAGCAAAAAAGCTCAGTTCTTGATGCCCTTTGCAATCCCACTTCCTTTTCAAAGGCACACAGGATGTGCCATCTTGGATCATCAAAGGATTAAAGCTAGGATGCACTTCCACTTCTGTATGAAAAAAACACAAGAGAAGCCTTCAGATGTTTTACAGTCCAGAGTAAGGATTTCACATCATAAAAAGTAGGTACTTCTTTAAAGCTTTTATACCCAACTATGACTAAAAAAAAAAATCTTCTTTTAAAAAAAGAGCTCCTGAAATTCTGCTACTGTGAGAATTCCTGTTTTTGAGATTGGGAAAAACCTCCTTCCTCATTCAGAAATGCTATTTTAACGTCTGTACACTTCAAATAGCACTTCTGTAAATGGACTAAATCCCTGATTTCAAGGAAGTCCACTCTATGGATTCTTGTTATGCCTGCTGCTGAGCTTCGTATTGAGTCATCCCTAATGCCGCTCAGGTTTGGTTTTTTTTTTTTTTTTAATCTATTCACAGACCTAGCTCTTCAAAATGCCTTTTTTTTCTTTTTCCAGCTGTGCTGAATCCAAACTGACAGCGTAAAGAAAGCATTTTCCTCCTGAATGTCTTCATATGCTTAAGTTTAGCTAAAAGGCTAAGTGGTATGAATGCCTTGAGTTTTTCCGTCGATTTGTCTCAATAACTGAAGCTTCGATGCAGGAAAAAAGTTCAAGTCTTTCTCAACAACAGCGTATTTTTTCTCCTTTATCTTGTTTGTTAGACAGCACAAGACTTTCACCTGGAGCCTTTCCCTCCAAGGAAGCGCAGTCATTGGGGACCACAGGGGTTGATCACCAGTAGTCCCCGATGAGCTGTGTCACCGGCCCTAGGAGGTCAGCCACGGCAAAGGTTGAACCGGTAGGAGACGCCTCCCTGGGGAAAATGCCCTTCTGCGCTGGAGGGTCCCCAGCCCTGCCCTGACGCACGTGCGAACCCTCGGGCAGCGCAGGCTCACAGC